CAAAGTATGGAAAACTAAGCTTTGCCATCTTTGCCTCCAAGAAGCACCTTGACTGGACTTTTTCTAAAATATATCTGTTGGTTCTTTTGGTAAGCCATGGGATATTCAGTATTTCCTCTTCTGTCATCCTTATTCATTGTCCAATTCTCTGATACATAGCAGGTGAATGAGAAGATCATGGCCTGAATCAGACACACTTTAGTCTTCAAACTGGCATCATAGCTTTTCAACATTTTGGAGAGTTCCCTGACAGCACACTTAGCCAACGCTTAATGTCTCCTGATTTTCTGATTGCTGGTATGAAGGATGTTTACTGATGATCCAAGCAAGATTCAATCCTTTCCCCATCTATCATAATATTGACTGTTGGTCCTGTGTGAGCCCCTTTCCTTTCATGATATTGAGATATAATCCATATTGAAGGCCACAGGCTTTGATCTTCTGCAACAAGTGTTTCATATCCTCCTCACTTTCTGCAAACAAAGTTGAGTCATCTGCATAATGCAGGCTGTTGATGAGTCTGCCTCCTATACTGATGCCACATTCTTCTTTTCAGAGTCTGGCTTCACAGATTACTTGCTCAGCATAGAGACTGAATTGATATAAACAACCCTGACTCATCCTTCCTGATTTTAACCATGCACTGTCCCCTTGCTCTATTCAGTCAACAGCTTCTTGGTCCAGGTATACCTTTCATATTAGCACAATTATATATTCTGGGATTTCCATTCTTCTCAATGTTAACCATTATTTATTATGATCTACAAAGTCAAATAAACTTGTATAGTCAATAGATATTAGACAAATAGACATTCTTCTGGTATCCTTTTTCTTTCAGCCAGGATCCATGTTTTATCAGCGATGATATACCTGGTACCATGGCCTCTTCTAAACCCAGCTTGGACCTCTGGTAGTTACTTGTCAATGTACTGTTCTAGCCATTTTTTAATGACTTTCAACAATATTTTGTTTACATAAGATATTAATTATATTATTCAATAATTTCCACATTCTATTGGATCACATTTCTTAGGAATGGGGACAAATATGAATCTCTTCCAGTCAGTTGGCCAGGTAGCTCCAAATTTCCTGGCATAAACTGGTGAGCACACCCAGGGCTCCATATGTTAGTTAAAACATGTAATTAGTATTCCACTGATCCCTAGGGGCTTTTGTTTTGTTTTGTTTTGTTTTGTTTTGTTTTGTTTTTTGCTAATGCCTTCAGAGCAGCTTGAATTTCCTTCTTCATAACCACTAGCTCTTGCTCATATAACACTTTCTGAAATTTTTTCAGTATCAACATTCTTTATGTTACAGTGATTCTGTATATTTTTTCCATCTTCTTTTGATGTTTCTTACATCATTCAAGATTGTGCCTATAGCACCTCTCAGTATTGCAATTCAAGGCTTCAATCAATTATTACCAATTATTTCAGCTTGAGAAATGCCAACAAGTTCTTCCCTTTTTATTCACTGATTCCAGATCTTTAGATATTTCATTATAGTATTTTGCTTTATCTCCTCAAGCTGCCCCTTGAAATCCTCTGTTCAGTTCTTTTTCTTCAGCATCTCTTCCTTTTGTTTTGGCTTCTTAATGCCCCACTGCCATTTTCATAGTCTCTTCGGACATCCATTTTTAATTTTTCTTTGTCTTCTTCTTTGTAATTACCTTTTGCTTTCTTCATGAATAATATATTTGATGTCCTCCCATAGTTCCTCTGGTCTTTGATCATTGTTGTTCAATACCTTAAACGTGTTCTTGAGATGATCCTTAAATTCAAGATAGACTCAAGGTCATATTTTGGTTCCTGTAGACTAGTTTTCATTTTCTTCAACTTCAATTTAAACTTGCACATGAGTAATTGGTGGTCTCCTCAATAATCAGCATCTAGTCTAGTTTTGACTGCAGATATGATGCTTCTCCAATGATGCCTCAAATATAGTCAGTCAGATCCATCAATCCACCAAGTGAGGACCATGAGTAAAGTCATTGTTCATGGTTGTTGTTGTTTGGTTTTTTTTAAAGAAAAATGATATTTGCTATAAATAAATCCTTGAGCACACAGAATTTTTCAATCTCCAGCCTCATTTCTGTCACAAAGTTCATACTTTCTGATTAATATTACTTCCTCATTGTTTCCAACTTTTGTGTTGTGGTCACGAATAATTATTAATGCATCTTGATTGCATGTTTGAGCAATTTCAGATTACACAAGTTGGTAGAAACTTGAAATCTCCTTCTCTGTGGCTTTCATTGTTGGTGCATATATTTGAATAATAGTAATATTAACAGATCTTCCTAGTATGCATATATAGTTTTCTATTATTCATCACATTGTACCTCAGGATGGATTTTTAAATTGTCTTTTTAACTATGAATACAACACCATTCCTCCTCAGTTTTTTCATTTACAGGTAGTAGATTATGTGAACATCTAAATGATTCAAAACAGTCCGTTCTTATCTATTTCAGTTCATTGACGAATATCAATTTTTCATGTGTTCCAGTTCATTTTTTATAACCTTCATTTTCTCCTGCATTCACATTTCTTACAATGCATTTTCTAATTTTTAGTGGTTGTTTGTGGCCATTTATACTCATTTTTTAGTGATTTCCTATCAGGGCTTATAACTATCCATCTTCCTATGTCTATAGGTTTTTCGAAGGCTCATTGTTTTGGAAGTGTATACTCAATCCTTCTTCCTTGCCTTAATCTAGGAGTCCTGTTACAAAATCTCCACCATGGTGACCTTTCTGGTACTTGAGAAACTGGTGACATAGATACCAGTATTAGATGGCTCCACAAGCTACATCAATACAGCAGACTGACAGACAACTGCTGTACTAATAGGAGTAAATAATAATACCCATGCTCACCAAGCTGCGCAAAGAAATCTGGAGGACAACTACTTGGCCAAATGACTGAAAGAGATCCATATTTATTCCCATTCTTTAAAAAAAGATAAGCCAATAGATTGTGGATACAAACAAAATCCTGCTGAAGATTATCCAAAAGGGACAGTACACTGACAGAGAACTAACTACCAAAAGTGGACACTGGGTTTAGAAGAGGCCACAGTACTAGGGACGTCATAGTCAATGTAAGATGGATCCTAACCTAAAGAGTATCAGAGGAATGTCTATCTGTATTTCATTGACTATACAAAGACATTTGGCTATGAAGATAATAAATCGTGACTAACCTTGAGAAGAATGGGAATCCAAGAATACCTGATTATGTTCATGCAAAACCTTGGACCAGGAAGCAGTTCTCAGAGCAGAGCAGAGAAACACTGTGTGGTTCACAGTCAGGAAAGGAGTGTGTCAGGGATGCATCGTGTCTTCATACCTTTTCAATCTATATGTAGAACAGATTATTTGGGAGACTGGACTCTATGTTGAGGAATATGGTATCAGGACTGAAGGAAGACTCATCAACAACCTGCAGATGACACAACCCTGCTTGCTGAATGGTTTGCTGCAGAAGGTCAAGGAATGCAGTCTCCAATATGGATTGAAGCTCAACATCAAGAAAACAAAGATTCTTGCCACTGGGCCCATAGGCAGCATCATAATAGATGAATAAGAGATTGAGATTGTTAACAATTTCCACTTACTTGGTTCCACAGTCAACAAACATTCTTGGCACTAGAAGTCAAGAAATCAAAAGACTAATTGCATTGGGAAAATCTGTTGTTAGGGATCTCACTAGTGTGCTAAAGAGCAACAATGGCAGTCTAGAAGCTGAGGTATGCCTCATCTAGACCATGGTCTTTGCTATACATAAGAAAGATAGACAATAAATATAGATGACAGAAGAAGAATTAATGTGTCTGAGCTATGGTGCTGCAGAAGAGTACTGAACATCCCATGGACTGCCAAAAGAACAAACAGGTCTGTCCTGGAGAGGGTGAAGACAAGCTATTCCTTGGAGGTAAGGATTCTGAAGCTCCATCTGACATAGTTTGAGCATGTTGCCAGGAGGGACCTGTCTGTGGAGAATGACATCAACCTTGGATTGGTGGGAGGACAGTGCAAGAGAGGAAGATCCTGGATGAGATGGATGGTCACAGTAACTGAGATAATCGGGATAGGTGTTTCGGAGATAGTGAGACTGGCTCAGGATAGGGCAGGTTCATAGCAATATATTGTATACGGAGTATTGCAGGTGACTGGATGGCACATAACAACAACAATATATACATCTAAGATATAAAGTAATTGGCAGCATGCAAATTATTCCCCAATAACCAAACAGAAAGATAGGTGGTGCACCTCTAAAAGCAAACCATAAAGATAACCAGGTATAAAAATATTATGGTTATTAGTGGGTACAGCACTCTTCTGTTAATATGCTGTATTGCAGTAACCTGGGGTTGCTGTGATGCTGAATCTTGTGCCATTGGGGTGTCAAATGCCATAACGGTTACCCATGGTAGACAGTGCTTGGTGGAGCTCCCAGTGTAAGACAGGTTTGGAAGCAGAAGTGGCACATACTTCCTAAACAATATGCCTCTGGAAACTCTATGAACTTTGATCAATGTCGATAGCCTTTTGTTTTTAGGGTCACTATGAGTCGTGCTCAACTCGAAGCCAATCAATAACAACAGTGTGTAATTACTACTTGTTGTTAGTGTTGTTGTTAGGGAGCCCTGGTGGCCCCTAATGGGTAAGGAGTTGTGCTGCTAACCAAAAGGCAGGTGATTTTAATCTACCAGTTGCTCAGAGAGAAAAAGATAGACCATCTCCTTCTGTGAAATTTACACTCTCCTAACATGTACTGGGGGTTCAGCCAAGAATTAGCTCCTGACTTTTTTTTTTTAGGGGAAAAAAAACAACAAACACTTTTTCTTTAAAACCAACTTCCCTGGGTGGTTTTTCACTGGTCTGTCCCTCTGCCTGTTTCTCTCCAGACCAAGGAATCTGGCCCGGGAGCCCCCTTAATAAAACTGTTTTAGCTTTCTCTTTAAAAAAAAAACAAACACAAACCTCAACTTACCTGGGAATATCTTCTTCAATTGTTGCACATCCATAAAGAAACACAATCACCCCAATTACAGAGGACGGAATAAGAAATGATGTATATAATCCCAGCCAGGCAAAATACAGTCCAATTTTTTCTCCAAAATACTTTCTAGAAAGAAAATAAATAAACAATATAAGGCATATATTGAAGATGTCATCCATGTTGTTTCTGATTTCTGCCTGTTTTAAACCCAGCAATAGGTTAGTATTAGGGATGGAGACTACATGGGTGAAGCTGAAGGAATCAGCAACTGGCTCTCTCTGCAGTGAAGCGCAGCCCATCATCCCATCAGAATCGCGTAGACATACTTGTCTTGGTTGTTCACAGGAAATAGAGAATTGTGAGAAGGAACCAAATCCTAAGAGCAAACTAAAACTACACCACACATTTTGGTATCTGTACCAGACAAATGAAAACACAACACCATTTCACAAGTGCCACAGTATTCAGCTCCAGAAAACACATCTTTTTTTAAAATTAGCTTATTTGAGGGAGAAAAAAAATTACAAACATATATTTGGCAATTATACAAAACCAAGCATATATACATTCATAGAAGAAAACCAGATAATTGCAAGATACATTAATAATGCCTCTTTGAATTATATATTATGAGTGTGTTTTAATTTTTAATTTTTATCTTTCATATTTTTCCAAATTCTCTGCTTTATTAATGAATTACTTTTATAATAAAAATTTCTTTTAAAATTCACCAACATGTTTGCTTTTATTCTCAGCTCATAAATATAGCAAATTTTCACATTAAATCACTAAAAAAATCAGATTTTCCCCCGCTATAATAAATACTTCATTGTTAGTGAATACCTGATGACAAATACTCAATTCAGGAGCAATCTGTTTCATTTTCCAAGAATCTCTCACATAAAATACAAGAGAATAATGGGAGCTCAGCTCATTCTTCACAGAAGAACAAGAAGAAGAACTGTTTTTCCACAAACAGAGGTTCTGCTTCTCTTCAAGATGTAGACAACTGCAAGAAGACATTGCTTCTACTCGAGCTATAAGAAATAGCTCAAAAAAAAAAAAAAAAAAGAAATAGCTCAGTCAATTAAATAATAACTATTTTAGAGTCCACAAGAGAGTTCAGGTTGCAAGGTAAGCTTTTCAGGTAAGCTGAATTCCAAAAGATGGCAAAGACAAACTGCTTTAAGGAAAAATTAAGCACATGAATCATTTTACCTTTGATAGAGTCTGGTAGGAAGAGACAATCACAAATAAAGTGAATAAGAAGAATATTTTTTCCCCCTGAGAGGTCAAAAGTAGGCTAAGATGTAATAAAGAATAATTCTGAGCTCCATGTACAAAAAGAGAATTCCTTCATTGATAAGCTTTTTGCCTTTAACTTCTATCTGGTGTTCACAAGGAAGAAAGCAGGCAAGATTAAAGAATGTTCCTTTAGCATGACATGGGCTTAACAATCCACCTACTTCCAAGACCTCGATCTCAATCAAATGAAAAGACTTAAGAAAAAGGTTTCAAAATCTAGAATCTAGGTAAAAGCCCACTGCTTCTGGAACCAGAGGCAGAGATGAAGATAAAAGACTGTCTACTGCAATACCGAAAGCATGTGGTTCAAGGTCACCAGATGTTCTGTAGGAGAAAGACGGGCAAACTCTTCCTGAGCAATTAACTGCCTCTGAAAATCCACTATGGTTAGCTATGAGTTGGTTCTGATTCTATGGTGCACAACAAATACCCTAAAAAAAAAAAAAAAGACTGTCCACCCTGGTGGAGAGCCAGCTCTGGCGGCCTATTAGGTAAGGAGTTGCACTGTCAACCCAAACTCAGGTGGTTTGAATTTTCAAGGGGAAAGATGGATAATCTCCTCCCACATACAAATGTATGTTGTTGATTGCCTTCGAGTCAAACATGAAAATATGAACATAAGACTTGAAACCCCTCTACAACTATCAACATTTATCAAAGTTCCTACAATGTATGTATAGTCCCTGAAAACCCACTGGAGGGTCTGCTATGAGTTGGTTCTGATATGATACCAACGAGCCTTTTTTAAAATAAAACAAAAACCTGGTAGAGTCACTGGGTAATGTAAGAGATTAAGACTTTGGCTGCTAACCAAAACATTGGTGGTTAGAAACCACCAGAAGACTTTGGATGAAAGGCCTAGTGGTCTACTTCCAAAAAACCATCCACTGAAAACCATACACAGCACAGTCAGTCCTTACTCTGACCCACACAGGGGTGCAATGAATCAAAATTATCTAGACAAAAATTTGTTTAATTTATTAGAATTTTTGTGTAGTCCAAGATCCAATGAAATAACTTTATATAACTCTGTTACCTCTAAGATTCCACAGATGTAATCGATCTGATTCCTATGCATACCATCAGGTGAAATCCATGTGTATAATCTACGTTTATGTCTCTTAAAAAACGTATTTGCAATGAATAAATCGATTGTGCAAAATTCAATCATTCTATCTCCAGCTTCATTTCTGTCACCAAGTCCATGTTTTC